ATGAGTGATCCGGATTCTCGAGGATATGCTGCGCGCATGCATTCCGGATTAGTCGAAAAAATGGGAGAGATATGTACGCTTAACCGAATTTGCGTATAACAATAGCTACCAAGCTTTAATTGGGATGGCTCCCTATAAAGCTTTATATGGATGTCGATGTAGATCTCCCATGTATTGGGATGAGATAGGGGAAAGAAAGTTGCTCGGGACCGTAGTCGGTATAACAAATGATTGAAATGGTGAATAACATTGATCAATAATTAAAAACGACTTAAAATAGACAAAAGTGTTACATCGACAAGAGGCGAAGGGATCTAGCATTCGAATTCGGTGACTATGTATTCCTACGAGTATCACCGATGAAAGGCGTACTTCGATTTGGGAAGAAAGGAAAGCCGAGTCCGTGATACATCGAACCATTTGAGATACTAGGTCGAGTAGGTGATAAGGCGTATCGCCCGTCGTTATCGCTATCATTAGCGAAGTACACAATGTATTCCATATATCTATGTTAAGAAAGTGTATCGAGGAACCAAAGCAAATTTTAGAGACGGAGCCGCCGAACCTCGTCACAAACTTAACATACGAGGAGAGACTAGTCCAAATCCCGGATAAACGAGTTAAACGACTCGGGAATAAGGAAATTGGTATGGTTAAGATTTTATGAGAAAATCACAACCTCGAAGAATTGACTTGGGAACGTGAGGAAGAGATTAGGGATAAATATCCGGAATTGTTTGAGTAAGTCAATTTCGGGGACGAAATTCTTTTAAGGGAGAGAGAATGTAACTCCCATGAAATTTATTAATTATAAACATAAATACATATTTAAATTTTCATAAACATACCTATATTAAGTAAAAGTGATAGTATGAATTGTTTTAAAAGTTTTTACGACAACGATATGTTTGACATTTACGTGGGGAATTTCGAGAGGAAACATTTCGGATAATTTAGTTAATTATCCTTAGCATATTTCTAAGTATTTGAGATGCATTATATTAGTGAGAAATGTGTTATAAAATTTTAGGAACATTGGAACTTATTTTTGGAAAAAGTTTCGAATTGTTTAAAAGAATTTTTTTTTTAATTTTAGGGGTGAAATATTCCAAACTTTGTGTGATTTATTTAGAGATCTTATAGTGATTTTTGGGTAAAACTCAAAGAATAAATATTGTTCATCTATGTGTCTACTATCTCTTTGGAAAATTTTATGATATATATATATATATATATATATATATATATATATATATATATATATATATATATATATAAAGTTATGGTCGATTTGGTACGGATCATTTGGATTTACCACTATTGGAAATTTAATGGAAAGAAATGAGATTAGTTACTTAAACTTGGTTAGTTAGGGTGTTTAGTTAGCCTAAGTACTTAGTTAGACACCTAAGTCACCCTAATAAATGAATTAAGGCCAACTCACCATCCTTTTGACTTCAAACCAGCCACTTGCTTCCTTAGTCACCAGTTACTTTCCACTTTGGCCAATTGATTCAAGGCAATTGTAAACGGGGAAGAAAAAGGGAAGTATACAAGGGAGAGAGAGGGTTAAATGGCTGGAACTTTCAACCAAAAATCGTGGAGCACCAAGAAAGAAAAGAGAGAAAATCGTCAAAGGGAGAGAAGAAGGAAAAAAGAAAGAAGAGAAAGCTAAGGAAAATCTAATCACACCTTAAGCTACGTAAGTGGGTTCTTTGGTTATTTATTTATGCCATTTATTTGGTTATGGTAATAAATTAAGTTTGTGTTGGTGTTGGTTTTTGCTTTGATGATTGGTTGCTTATGGTTGATTATTATTATGCTTGTTTGTGATGGTTATTTGCTTAAGCTTGATTAAGCCTTATATGTAGCTTAATTAGTCGGTAATGGGTGTGATGAATTGGACTTGGTTTGGCTAAAATTTGGGGAAAATAATTTGGGTTTGGTATAAGCTTGGCTTGAAACAATAGAAAGGAAGAAGATAAAACAAAAATTCTAGGGTTTTACCTATGAAATGTTTGGTCAAGAATGAAAGAAAAAAAATGGAATTCTTTTAGTGTTTAGGGATCTTAAGCTAATGGTAAGAAAATGAGGTTTATTAGCCATTTTAATAAGAAAGGAAAAGTCTTGTAGGAACAAAATAATTTCCTTGTAAATTTTAGGATCATTCGGCCCAAACATGGAAAAGGGGGACTTTGGGTATTCTCAAGCCAATTAAATAATTTATGGACTTATTAGGCCCAAATTAGGATAAAAATGAAGTTAGATAGGTAAAGTTGTGAAAAGAAATCAAATCTTGACCTAAGCACCGAATTTTTCAAAAAAAAAAAATGGAGAAACATTATGCCTAGCATGTTTTTAAACCAGGTGAGATGTTAAATGCCACCTAAGTCGAACTTAGAATGAAATAATAGTCAAGAGTACCCCTTTAAGTGGTAGGAAGGTCTCAAATACGAATCGAGCCCACGACCCAGCAAATGACACTAGTTGGCGTTTAAATCTAATTAGGTGAACGTTGCGACAAGATGTTTGAAATCATGTGAACTATATGTGAACTCGGCATGGGTGCATTGGTTTGAAACCTATATGGTTTGGTACCGTCACTCGGGTTTAATACCGTAATTGTGATATCACGTGCATTGGTGGGGATGAATTAAGAAAGAATCAAATGGTCGAAAAGTGGTGTGTATGGATAGGGGTAGTAACTTAATTGAATTAAAAAGGGGTTAGCGGTCTAGTCGTGTGCGTACTCTAAGCCGTGTGCCCGCACTATTAGGCGATGGATTCCCGTCAGCAATGGCTACAACAAGGGATAATTCTGTTGTTAGCATTCGGTGATTTGGTAATCACCTATAGAGTAGACCGCTACTACCCGTGGTACTCGGAATTAAAATTCATAAGTATGGTAGGAAGTTAGAAAAGCATTGTATATCACGTGCATTATCCCACTCACCGAGCTTCGGCTCACCTCATTGTTATTTGCATGTTATGACAGGTAGCAATGGATCGTAATACCAATAAGGACACCGTCGGATCCTCCAAAAGGGCTCGGGGGTGACACAAACCTTAGGGGATTTTATTTTAATTGTAAATTTTAGGTTGGGGTATCGATAGACATTTTGATAGTATTGTAAATAAGATAAATTGTAATGTCTTTCCATGTGAATATTCTTGTCATGTAAATTGTATTGTATATATTTTAACATGTAATATGTTGTTATGGTATCAACATGTACATAATAGGGTTTAAGTTGGGTTGGACGTGTTAGTGTGACGCGCTCCTCGCCCAGCCACTCCGTTTTAGGTAGTTAGCAAGTGGGCCGGGGAGAGGGCGCCACATCACCTTTATAAATCTAAGGCAAATACCCATAGAAGAAAAATGGAGTTTGAAGAAGGCAATCTAATATGGCTTATCATCAAAAGCTGAGATTTCCTACTAAGACATACAACAAGTTCAAGCAAGGAAAGTTTGGCCTTGTGGGATAATAAAAAATCTTGGACCTAATGCATACCGTTTGGAATTACCTAATGGTTTAGCTATTAGTCTAATATTCAATGTGAGTGATTTATATTCTTTTCATGGTGATGACAACAGAATTATGATGAAGCCATTTAAGATTGTAGCTAAGGGTACCATTTCAACTAAAAAATCTATTGTCTGTGTTGGATGCTTAAAGCATTACAACTAGGTGTGGGACTTATACTCAATATTTAGTTCATTTTAATGGAAAACGTAACTCTGAAGATGCAAGGATTTCAGCTCATAAACTCAAGAAGTTGGATGAAACTCTATGGCAAGACTTGACTTTGAACTCTAACCTGAGTTCTTTTTAAGAATGGAGAATGATGCGTGAGCATAAATGTAGCCTCAATTTCAACAATTCATTTATCCCAGGAGTCGTATTTGATGTGGTGTCAATAAAACTTTGCTGGAAACTACTAGGCTTCTTAGGAAATTGTTTTATCTTTTAAATGCTCATCTTGGAAACATGTCATAGCTTTAACTATTAGGAAGTGCAATGACCATCTTTTGTACTATTTATACATGAAATCACAATGAAAGATCATCACTTCCAATTCAACCAAAAACTTTTATCTAGCAAGAATCCCTGCTTGGAGTTGATTGATTCCTCCTAAACCAATCCAGTGAGTGGCTTGGTTGCATCAAGTGGCTCCACGATTAGTAGTGTCGAGTGGCATCCGCTACCCCCGGTTGAGTGGCATCCCAAGACTACCTTCCTTACATGATCTGATCGACGTGCCTCCTCATTTGGAAAGCCTGGAAAGTCAGGGATAATGTTCTCAGGGATCATGAAGGGTTATTAATGAGGCAGATACTATGGCTATTAGCAAGGCTTTAGAGATTGGTGCATCATCTACTTTTGCAACACAACTTGAATGGATTATAGAGTCGGATTCTTACATTTCCTGGTTGTAACCTTAAACTGTGACCTTATTTTATTTTCTTTTTGCTAGCCAATTACTTGCTAGCTAGCTTTGCTTGTTTCTAATCTGATATCGATTTTTCATCAGTAAAACTACAGGGATCCACATCCATTTATCCAGACTCACAGGCTGTGCAAGACATATGTTATAATGAAGAAAAAATTATCACAATACGCAAAAAGCTCAGTCCTGACTCCAGAAACCTTCAAATCCATCTTTTCTTTCTCTTTTTCTGTAACAGTATTATTTCACAGAAAGACGAGTGAGCAATTTTTGGAGATTGACAGAGACTGATAAGCAACAATGGTCTTAGTTGATGAAACTTAAAAATGATGTATAATACCAAAAAACATAAATCATGAACAGATCATATTATAGCAACATAAATTGAAGATGTATCATATATTATCCAAAGTCGTATTTTACCACTTCCTGACGTATTAAATATCCTAAGAAAAAAAAAAAAAGAAAAGAAAAAGAGAACTCTAGAACGACTAATCATGGTCCTAAACTGGTAAGAAAAATAAGTCCTTCGTTACTAATGCTCGGTATCTTCAGAGAAAATAATCGAAGTAGAAGCGATTCGGAATCATATCAATCTCTTTTTCTTTAAGGGAGATCTCTGGAATTCCTTGCAACAACATCTTAGGAAAAGTCTCCGACCAATAGTCAGTGGGATAGTCCTCAACAACTTCACTAACAGCAGGCAATGGATCAGAAGCCAAGTCTTCAATCAAGTCAGTGCCCTTAACCGGTAGTGCACAGAGTGCTAGTACAACAACATTGTTAGAAGCACCTTCAACCCTGACCGTACCATCTCCTACTGCAGCAAAGGGACGCAACTTGGTATCCGAATCAGTAAAAGTTGCTGCTGCCTCATTGTCGCAAACCTCTCCAGCATTCCTAACCTCCTCATCCTCCTTTATTTCAACAATTTCTACCACATAATCATTGTCGAAAGTACCTTTGCGTACCCTTTTGCGTTCCCTTTTAGCAGAGCAAACTCCGAACCCCATCTTCTGTTCTGGAGCAGCCGGCGTCATATGTTCAGACTTGGATGCAAGAGTTCCCTTTTGCGTTCTGGTTTCTAAACACAATAAAAGAAGAGCTTTATTTATTTATTTCTTGATCGATTGATAGAAGAGGACCAGAGGAGTGCATGTGTTTTCATGTTTTTGCAGAGAGGTAAGTCGGCTATTTTTAAGCTGTGTTGGTCAAGGAATCTATCTTTGTTCAGGAATGTGTGTAATCCGAATTATAACCTAATGCGCCCCCGGCCGGATGAGTAAAAAAAGAAAGAAACTAGCAAGACTCGTCACGTATCATAGTTTTATTATTATTATTATTAAGAAATTGTAATTAATAGATACATTATATTATATCTTTATTTTTTATATTTATTTTATCCGTTATGTTTTATGTCTTATTACAATAATTAATGCACATATTTATGCATGTTTATGACATAAAATTAATTATAGAGTGAAAATGTGCTTAAAGTTAGGAAATTCTAACATGTTTGACTTAGACTTTCCGAGCAACTTTTGTAAAGAATATCTCAAGCGTTCCAAAATGATACAATGGGTCAAAATTCAAGTTCGTTCGAGCCTCCAAATAATATTTTATATTATGGTCTAAAAACTGATTTGAATCTTATTCGAAGTCTAGACCAATTGTGGCTTTTAATTCATATCTAGAGTTTCAAAATTCTAATTAATGCAAGGACACTTCCATAGTAGCGATTGGAAGCATATCTATAATTCTTATGAAATGCCCGAGTCCAAATTAGATCGGTTTGAAGGAGGAATTTAGTAGCAAAATTGAATTCTTAAGTCTAGGAGGTCCGGTTGAGTTGGTGGCATTGTTTAGCCCATAAATCGAATTATGGATCTTTTTTTTTTTTTTTTTTATACAAGGCTTGATGCTTTTGAAAGCTGAGACATAGGTCTATAACTTTCATGGAGAGAGAAAACTCTAATTCGGCATGTACCTAGTCCATATCCGGTAGTAAAGACATAATAAAAAATTAGCAAAATTGATTTTTAAGAATGATTACCATTGTGACTTTAATTAATGGGTTTATCCCACATTTTGCCCTTGTATAGTTCAAGTTTTTTTTTTTATTGAATCTTTACATGATTTTTTTTAAACTTGATTGAAACCCTCTATTTTTATAAATTTGTTGATTCGGACCCTCTCGTTATAACTATGTTAAATATTTATCCGACATGACGTTAAAATTAATGATAGCCAATCATGAATTGACACATGTCATAGTGGATCCCACTCTAATAGTATATGTTCGAAAGAAAAAAGAAATTTGATTTTTTTATTATTATTAAACAAACATTTAGCGTTTAAAAATAAATGGGAAAAGATCACATTGCCCCACCCCATTATTAGTAACCAATAAAATGGAAAAAAGAAGAAGAAGAAGCACTATCGTTCTCTCTTTCCTTATTCTTTTCCTCTTCTTCTTTCTCAATCGAAACAATTCCATAAGCTTGATGTTGTTCCGCTTGTTAATGAGCCGTCACTCATGGAAAACCTCCTTAATCTTCTTCTTCTTAGATTTGGTTTCCTTCTCCTCATCAACTTCCTCAACATCACCCTTTTCTTCCGTAACCCCCACGAAATTCCTTAACCTAGCTATACGTACTAATATATTATATATGTATATATAAAGTATTAAGTGCAATTAATATTTAGAGATAGTAATATGCTTTGTGCTTATATGAGGAGTTATGGGATTAAATAAAATAAAATAAAATAAAAATTTTGGCACGTCGCAATTTTAATTACCGAGCCAAAATATCTCTTGAAATATCCATAGTATTAAGTGCAATTTTTTTTGTTAGTTTACCAAACCTAATCATGTAAGCCAATTCTCATTCAATTGACTTTTCTCCAATTGCCCCATAATGCACATGATGCACGTGATGTTATATGTACCATATTAAACATATCCAACCCATACAGGATTTGACTTCATATATTTTCATAGGTCCAACCCACACACGGTTTCGGGCATGCTCATACCTCTTATCACTTAACAAAAAAAAGAGTATTAGCGAGTCCGGTTGTGTGCGTACTCTAAGCTGTGTGCTCGTACTTGTTAAGCGATGGATTCCCGCTAACCATGGCTACAACGATAGACAATTCCATTGTAGCAGAAGGTGATTTGATAATCACCGGGATTAAAAATAGAGTAGACTAGCTAATACCAAGGGTACCGGAATTAAAATTGATAAGTATTATAAGAAGTTAGAAAAACATTGCATATCACGTGCATCACCCCACTTACCGAGCTTCGGCTCACCTCGTCGTCATTTTCTTTATGATGTGATAGGAAAATGATAAAATAGTAAGGATGCGACCGACTCCTCCTAAGAGGCTCATGTGTAACACGAAATGTTGAAATTGGTTTTGTCCGTAATTTAGGGGTATGGAATCTATACGGACTCAATCGCTATTTATAATATTTTGTTACTCGTAATTAGTTATATCATGTAAAATTTTACTATATGCGGTTTGTTATGTAATGTGCTATTAATTTCTTAAGTACAATGTACGAGACCCGATTAGGGTCTAAGTGGTGTTAGTGTGACGCGTTTTGCCTAGTCACTTCTATTTGGGTAATAGATAGTGGATCGAGATCGAGGTGTCACAAGGTGGTATCAAAACTATGGTTTAGATAATCGGGTAGAATCTCATGTGTTACATGAGCCTAAGGACCAGGTTCGTTGTTCGAAAAAAAAATTATAATTATCATTTTCAATTTTGATTCTTTGATTAATGTGTATGATTGTTATGTGTCTTTCATTTTCTTACATTAAATAGGTTTATATGTGTCTTGAATTAATTAGGCAAAGTGTAAAGTAATTTGGTGAGTCATGGTGAAGGTGACGGGTTTGTGTGCAAGTTGGGTGAGCTGGCTCTCTTGCATTTAATGAAATGGCTTAGGTGCCATAACTAGGGGATTAGACTAATTAAATACCCTAATTAACTTAGCTTCAAGTAATTAACATATTTCCTTTATAGATTTTCATAAATTTCACCTTTAAACTCGCAAATTCCCTTCCCTTCTATTCGATATTTTCCAAGGAAAATATTCCTATATTCCTAAAATTTTATACACGCCCCTATTTCCCTTATATACTATGTCCCAAGTACTTAATATATAATGAGTGGTAATTAATTAATTTATTTGAAACTTCATCCCAAAATTCTCACATAAGTACTAATTAACTATCATCACCAAATAGTTAAAATGACACTTACAATTGTACTCGTACTTAATATATATTTACATGAATATTCTAGCATATATATATATATATATATATATATATATATATATATATATATATATATATATATATGTCTCATTAAATATTTTCGTGAGGGTTACGAACTGTACTTGGTAAACGATGGACTCTCGCTAACGGTGGCTATAATGAGGGATAATTCGTTGTTAGCGGAAGGTGAATCGATCTTCACTCGGATTAAAAATAGAGTAGACTACTCTAAGCCGTGTGTTGGTACTCGTTAGATGATGGACTCCGTTAATAGTGGCTACGATGAGGGATAATTTTGTTGTTAGCGGAAGGTGAATCGATCATCACCTAGATTAAAAATAGAGTAGATTTGCTAATACCCGGGGTACTCGAAATTAAAATTGGATGAGTCAAAATGGGGGAAGTAAGAAAATCATTGCATATCACGTGTATCATGCTACTTACCGAGCTTCGGCTCACTCTGTGTTTATTTCATGCCATGACGAGTAAAGGTGATCCTAATGCCGATAATGAAGCTATCGATTCCTCCCGAAAAAGGCTTATGTATGACACAAAAATTATAGGATCTACCTTTACTTGTAAATTATGTTTTGTAATTTTTGTAATAATATTCAATATATTAGGTATGTGTATAGGATTAAATTTGAGACTTCAATCTCTAAATTATAGTGCACTTAGCAATGCCTTTTAGGTAATCGACAAAGGAGTCAGGGTGCCATAGAGGTGGTATCTAAGCTTTGGTCTAGTTATTCAAGTAGAAACCAAAGTGTCACATGAGCTTGAGGATCGATGCGCTACTTAATAAGAAAAGTCTACTTCTTGATATTTAATAAATATGAGTGTTTACTCGTGTGAAAATATGCACGTTTATTGTATGGTTTATAGTATATAGCCCCTGCATAGACATATGGATAATGAGAAGTATTTATATTATAGATGTCGATTAATAACCGTGTTCCTAACGTTCCTAAGACTCACGGATAGCGGGCCACTCTCGCCGCCTATTTGGTTGAGCTACAAGCCTTACCATGACCCCGGATCGGCATCCGGTGGCCCATGTGATTCGAGTCCATGACTCGATTTAGCGAATAGTATTCACCGATGCTTCATTTGACCTATACCGTAGTGTTGTATTTTTTATGGCAACAATGCGCCGGACTCTTTTAGCACAAGTTAACAATTATTGGATACGATTGATGAGAGAATGATAGAATGATATTCCTATCACAATGTGATACGAACCTTCCCGTCAATACAGAGTTAGGAAGACCTTGATGAGATTGATGTATAATTGGGGTCTACCCTTGCCTTTAGCTCGCAACATCACACAGATTACATGGGTTGGCGCTATAGACCGGTGGAGAGTTGAGGTCTCCTTTCCACGTCGTGTTCGCTTTGTTGATTGGTAATTAGACGAAGTAAATGTGTGTCTAGGAGATGTATCGTACGATCTAGTGTCCCGTGCACCTTTTGAGATCTTTGTACACTTGTTAATGTAACTAGACATGCCTTTTTTGGAACTAGCGATGCCCTTTTGTGGGTACTTTGGCATTAAACCTTTTGGGATGTAACCATGTATGTCACTATAAATGTTGGGCATATATGCTATTATTCATTATCTATATATCCTTGGCTATTTTCTATTGTGTGACATATGACATTAATATTTTTGATACAAAAACTAGCTCGAACGTAACGTGACATACACAAAGTCAAAGCATGTCAAGACGAAATCCCTTACGAGC